CAATAGCAATAGCACTTAGACTTATATACTGCTTCATAGTGTTTTACAGCACTTCTAAGCAGTTTACAGTCAGCATATTGCCCCCAACAATTTGGGCCCTCGTTTTACCAATTTCAGAAAGATGGAAGACTGGGTCAACGATGACCCCCGTCGAGACTCCAAATTCCAGGCTATGGGCAGAGTTTGCCTGTAATACTGCATTCTAACCACTGTGCCACCAGTGATAAGAAATAGTGTAAGAGAAGTAGTGGGTTTCAATTTAGTTTGCTACCGGTTCACTCGTGCGCGCAATGCTTCTGCGCATGCAGAGATACACACATACACACCAAAATACATTGTTTATATATAAAATGCCAAAAATATCAGTCTGTCTGTCTGTCTGCCTCTATCTATCTATCTATCTATCTATCTATCTATCTATCTATCTATCTATCATCTATCTATCTATCTATCTATCTATCTATCTATCTATCTATCTATACATACATACATACATACATACATACATACATACATACATACATACCAGGGGTAGTATTCACTTACTTTCGCTTCTGGTTCGCAAATGTGAGCGGGCACGCAGGACCTTCCACACATGCGCAGAGTGTCAAAAATGTGAATAAATGGGATGTGATTACATCCGGGCAGGTGGGCGGAGCCTCTCACCACCGCTGCTACCAGTTCACCCGACCCAGGGCGAACTGGCAGCAACCCACCACTATGTAAGAGCCTTTGAGAATAACCTTGGGAGACAGGAGACGTTGCAGCCTAGGCAACAGCCAGACAAGAGATATCTCAGCCCACAGAAGGCATGTGGGTGGGGAAAGCATCACAGAGGCGATGCTCCATGGGTGTCTGGATAGCAGAAGGGAGGGAGAGGAGAAGTGGATCCAGACTTGCAAAACTCTCGTACTATAACCTTACAGTAAAGGTAGTATTAATACTCATACCTTTCTCACCTGGACTATCTTGAATAGCTGATAGATCATACATAGAAGTAGTTTAGGGTTTTTATTCTGGTTATGTGAAATCTGAAGACACATTTCGTTGTGACAGCACACACACTTCAATCCATACACTTCTTTTTGTAAGTCCTTATGAATAATGGCTTCTTACTTGATGATCGGTTCCTGATGCATCTCATCTGACTGCGGTGTAAAACAATCTGAGCTGTGGTGGCACAGTGGTTAAAATGCACTATTGTAGGCTAACTCTGCCCACTACCAGGAGTTCAATCTTGACTGGCTCAAGGTTGACTCAGCCCCCCATCCTTCTGAGGTTCGGTAAAATGAGGAGCTAGATTGTTGGGACAATATGCTGACTCTGTAAACTGCTTAGAAATGCTGTAAAACTCTACAAAGTGGTATATATAAGTCTAAGTGCTATTGCTATTGCTAATCTCCACAAATTGACTTTTGGATTGGAGAGACAGCCATGAACAGATAGTCCTGTTTATCCATTAAAACAAGGGACTTATTAAACAAGATGATTACAAAAGAGTCAAACTGTGACAGGCTTTGTTAGACTGGACAGATGGTCTATTTGTCAGCCCGAGGCAGAATGAAAGGTACTCTTAATGCTTGTGCTGCTACTTGGCAGCAAGTTGTTGCCATGTCCAATGGCAGGCTAAAATACACTTGATTCATTTTGTCATTGAATCTATTATTTGAAAACTCATTAAATTTGAAATGTGTGGGGCTTATTGTGCTGGAATTGCAGATAACATACTACGATATGCTTGACAGAATATCATGGCCTTGTTTATTTAATTTTCATTGCTGATGAATTCATCAATACTTTGTAATTATCAATGGTGTGATAACAATAGGTCTTTTCCGGTGCACATTAAATCAGAAACTGGAGAAATTAATGTAGAAGGTTTTTTTTTCTTTTTGCAGTTTCACAGGAGTGTGTAAATAGCAGTTAAATCATTCATAAATGTATGAGAAATTATTAAAGTATTATATAATATTGCAAAATGAACATTAAAATGGATCTGAGCTTTTGAATTGAATTTAAGTGTTACAGTGTATGTAGTAAATGCATCAGTATTTTCAGCAAGATTGAAAATATATCATTATAATATGATTTATTGTTTAACTGCACATTTTCTTTTTTCTGCTGCAATCACTGGAGACAAGCCACAGATTTATGGTCTTGAATCAGGATGAACCTTAAGTACCAGTCAAGTACCACTGCCATTCCTAGCATCCTTAAAACTATAGAAATAGAGAAGAGGCAGCGAGTAAAATGAAAGCATAAGGAGCACCAACAGTGTTTAGCTAGTCACATACTTTGTTTTGGGAGGAGGAAGAATTTCTGAAACAGCTATCTCATTGAGAAATAGCAAAGAAGGAAATTCCATATCATATACAAGTTCTAACTCTAATGTGAACTCCCCAACAAATTCTCCAATCCTTTTAGACTGGTACATACTTTAAACTGGTGATGTAGGTGTCATTAGTCATTAATTCATTTCATAGGATGTGAGCAATGGTATGGCCCATTTGCAATAGTATCTAATTAGTGGCTTGTTGTCAGTCCTGGCTCAGCCTGAGGTTCTAAGTAAAAATGATCTTTAACACTATTCGATTGCAAAAGGTATGATTTACTAGAAGTCAAGTGACATATAGTAATGCAAAACCAGAACTAAAAGCTCATGCGCCAAAATCTCACTTTTCCCTCTTGAAGATGCCTCCCATAGTTGGTCCTCTAAAGTCCAATCAAATTCAAAGGAATATTTTTAGAATGATTTCCTGAAAAATGCAACTATGCTCAGTTCCCAAGCTGTTGACCTTGAGATGGTGCTCAGAGTGGAACAGTAAATTTTCATCCCTCTGCAGTATTCCCCCCCACATCAGGCCCCAGAGTTTATGGCAGGCTGGCACCGAAATAGCTTCTTGAGGCATATAGCATCAAGCATTGAGGTAGTGTCTGACATTTATTTTACATAGAATAAAAAGAACATTCTTGTCATAAAATGCATACTAGCTAAATCTCCAGTATTAGGAAAGCTGCATGTGGCAATCTGGTTACAAATGTAAGTTTCAGGTAAAAATGCAAGGTCCTTTGATTTAATGTCTACATGGTGGTAGTAGATTGGGATAAAAATCTATTACTAAAATCTTGGATTGTTACACCCACTCAAAAGGTTAAAAAAACACTATATTTAAGGAGCACCTTTATTGGTTTCTGAACTGACGTTGGGGAGGAAGGTGCTTAATAAACATTTAGCAGCTTCGAAACATTCAAAACTCTAATTCTGGAAAGTTTCCCACAAATTATATCTCTGCTAAAATTATCCATCCCTTTATGATCGCTGGTTATTTGGATTCTGAGGAGTGATTAATGCTTTCTGATTAAGCAGCTTCATTTCTTTCTGCCAGAAGCAGATCTTATTAAAGTTGAAAGATTTACTAGGGGCATGAATGACTAGATTGAGCTACAGAGCATGGATGAAATTATACATATCTATCTTTCCTGTGGTATCTAGAAGCAGGTGCAGGGATATCAGAAGAAAGAAATCAGTGGCTGCTATCACTGAGCAGAGGAAGAAGAGAACTGTTATCATCCAGCATCTGCTGGAAACAGCTAAGAGGGGTGGAGGGGTGGAGAAGGGCATACGTCAGTGCCATCATTCATGCATATTGGGCACTACTGTTCACTCTGTAGCAGCCTGCATCTTTTTATGAAAACCTCCTCCTGCATCCAATGCTTCCTGCAGACTTCCTCCTACAAGGGCTGACACTTCCCATTCCACACAGTCTGGTGGTGGCTTGATGGTTGGCTGCTCTTCACCTCCTATCAATGGTTATCATTATTTACTTGTTAGAAATCAGGATGCTTTGTTAAAAAAAAAAAGAGATGTGGAAATGCATCAGCAAGGACAAAAACAGGGACACACTTGCATAAAATTGCATATGCCAATTGTTATGCATAGATGCGCATTAAATTAAGAATTAATTACTGTACTTTAAATAGAAATCCAGTGCAAATAAGCATATGTACCGAAAATGTGGATGACTTAGCACTTGCAATTTTTATATGCAGGGGAGGTTAAGGGGATTTTTGTTACTATAGGACAGGCAGCAGTTTGAACAGGGTTTAAATTAAATTGCAATTTTTGCGGGTTCCTACTGTTCATCTGAACTGTGAGCATTGATTGGCTCATTTATCTTCTCCCTGTTCCAAAGTCAGTGGGACTAAAGATGATTGGCAGCTCAACTGCTTTGAAAGATTGAAGATTGGAAATGAGACTGCACAATTTTATAAGAAACAGCACAGTAAAAGTTGCAACGTCTAGCTCAATAGAAAACTTTAACAGAAATTCTACTGTCGAGGTAATTTTATTAGGTAGGAGTATGATATCTTTAAAATATTATGCGATGCTCCTTCCTAGACTCTAGGACAGTGATAGCTAACCTTTTTGTCGTCACGTGCCAAAAACGGGGAAGTTGCAGGGGGCGGGGTCACAGACACATATGCCCACACCCATAATTCAATGCCCCCCCACGCATGAATGAGCAAACCCCCCATGCTCCCCCCCACTTTTGGCACATGATGGCAAAAAGGTTACAGGTGGGCCCAGTAGGCCCATTTTTCTCTCTCCCCAGGCTCTAGAGGCTTTCTTGGAGCCTGGGGAGGACGAAAATAGCCTCTCCCCCCTGAGGCCCTCCAGAGGGCAGAGGCCTGTTTCCCGACTTCCAGTGGGCCTGTAAGGCCTAAAAACCAGCTGGCCGGTGCGTGCATGGGCACTGGAGCTGAGCTAGGGCAATGCTCGTGTGCCCACAGATATGGCTCCGCATGCCACCTGTGGCACGCGTGCCACAGGTTCGCCATCATGGCTCTAGGATAAAGGCCATCTTCCAATCAAACAAGATATATTAAAAAAAACATTATAAGAAGTATTGAATTAGTCCTAATTGTACACCTACATGCTGCAGAAGAATATAAGCATAGGTCTGCACAGAGTTGTAACCAATCTAACACATTGCTTTGGTTTGGACACATTTATCCCATGTCAATAATTGATACTCTACATCAGTGTTTGCTGCTGGCTGGGGAATTCTGGGAGTTGAAGTCAACACATCTTCAAAGTTGCCAAGGTTGAGAAACACTGCTCTATATAGTGACAAAGAAAGAATTAGGAATGAATACATTAAGTTTTGAGCTCTTCAAAATAATACATCTATATCTCTAGAAATCTGCCTTCTGCGAGGTTAGGTTGATTCCAGCCCAACATTTACTTTGTGTTCCTAGGATTTGGAGAATGAACATACCCCGATTCCTAATTCATTTCTATCCGCTAAACTTCATATTGGCTTCACTGTGTGTTTGTACTCCAAAGACAATTCCAGCTGCAAGTCCATATTTAATTAAGACAATTATTGTAAAAATATCTATTAAATTTTTGAGCTAATAAAGGAAATGTACAAGAATCATTTTAAAACAATAGTGTTTTCACATTTATTGTGCTAATACTAATTATATAGAGCCAGTCTTGATTCTATTAAATCCTCGAATACTTAAATATTTGGAAAGCTAATTTACAGGACAATAATTCTGATCCCCTAAGAAGCAGGGATATTGCAATACCAGGTTACATTTTAGTCATTTCTACAATTGATTGCTTTTTAATAAAACAGACTTGATTAATAGCCTCAGTGATACCCATACTGAACAGGATAACAGAATTGGAAGGGACCTTGGAGGTCTTCTAGTCCAACCCCCTACTCAAGCAGAAAACCTTATACCAGTTCAGACAAATCAATGTCCAATCTCTTCTTTAAAAATTCCACTTTTGGAGCACCCATAACTTCTGGACATGTCATTTCACTGATCGTTCTAACTCCTAGGAAATTTCTCCTTAGTTCTACGTTGGTTCTCTCCTTGATTAATTTCCATCCATTGCTTCTTATTCTGCCTTCAGGTGCTTTGGAGAATAGATTCACCCTCTCTTTTTTGTGGCAGCCTCTTGTGGAACACTGTTACCATAAACACCTCTAGTCCTTCTTTTCATTAAACTAGACATATCCAATTCCTGCAGCCTTTTAATATGCTTCAGCCTCCAGCCCCCTGATCATCTTTGTTGCTCTTCTCTGCACTCTTTCTAGCATGCACACTCTAATGACAGGAAGGACAATATAGTCCAATTCTGCACATTTTGTTTAATATATCACACAGACAGTCAAAGCCCAGTTTAACCCAAGGATTCTCATGTTTGCACAAGTGAAGATCTCTTATGTAGAGAGCTTTGCAAGCGAACATACTGTTGCCTGCATTCCATCAGCTCCAAGAACATATAGGGTACTGATATATGCAATGGTACCTTGGTACTCAACTGCTTTGAAACTCATCAAATTTGGTACTCAATGCATTTTGACATGGAACTTCTATCCTGATACTCATCGTTTGGCTGGTACTCAACACACAAGCTAGAACTTGTCAGTGTCGGCTACCTTGTGCCTCACTACATTATTCTTTATGGGAAAAATTTGTTTAGTAGTCATCATTTTTAGTACTGGAACCAATTAACAATGAGTACCAAGGTACCACTGAACACAGGATATGAAGGACATTTGAAGAAGTGTAGGGTAAAACAAGGCTGATTTGCCAGGATATAAATGTTTGTTTATATTAACAGATTAACAGAGTTGGAAGGGACCTGGTACGTCATCTAGTCCAATCTAGCAGACCCTACACCATTTCTGACAGATGGCAGTCCAGTCTCTTCTTGAAAGCTTCCAGTGATGAATCTCCCACAACTTCTGATTTCAAATTTCATATTTGAAATTTGCTTTTGAAAATTGTTATAATTTTCAATATAACAATTTTCAACATTGTTATAATTTTCAATATACTCAAAATTTTCAATATACTCAAAATTGTGAGATTGGGATGGTACACAAATTATGTCAATAAATAAGTATAGAAATAAAGAAAAAATAGTATTATTAATGTAAACTAGCACAGCTATATTATATTTTTAAAAAATATCTCATGCCATTAATTTATTGGCATGGTGTTTCTAAACCATTTCTCTCTACTATGCATAGCATTCTTTATCCTGAACAGGACTGCTCTGTTTATTTCAATTAAAACGAATTTTTATACTTTTTAATTATAGTTTTTAAAAGTGGGAGCAATGGCGCTCATGATTAGTACAGAAAATCTCAGTTCCAAGATTTCTAGTTGAAATTATGAAAAGCAAGTATTTGCATTGTGAAAGAGTTATTGTCAATTATTTGATCCCTCAATGTCCTCTTCATTAATATTCATAATGAATAGCCAGGTTTGCTAAAATAAAGAAGTAATATGCTATGAGATCTAGGATGGTATAGCAATTATTTGTACAACTTGAGGTCTCAGCCATATGCAGTTCCCTAAAACTTAGATGAAGTCCCTAAATTACTACTAAAGTTGTAAGGTTGATCAAGGATGCTATAACTGTCCTTGATCTATGGATATTTTGGAGTAGAGGCTCCAGAATCTGACCCAAAAGCCAAATGTCACCATTATTTGAAAAAGAAGTGTACTGTTGAATTACACAAGGAGAAAAAAATATTTGGTTTAAAACCCTAATGAACAACAAAATTCACTTGCTGAGCTTCTGTGTCAATGTAATTTGGGATGGGGAAACTGTGAGTGCTGCTCTGCACATTTTGCACATTTTGCAAGAAATACAAGATTAAACAATGAAATAACTAAATGACAATTTGAGAGTTCTATGTCAGAATAATAGGATATAATATAATAGGATATAATACCATAATAGGATAATGTTTATATTTTATTATACAAATGATATAGTTAATCCTTTTAAAACTTATGATATTCTAAATTTACAAATCACTGAAAAACAAATGTTTTTTCCCCCCAATAGAGGGTTCAGCTTTCGAAAGAGCATGGTTGACCTGTTTATCTACAATGTCAGAAGAAATATTTCTCCAGATTGATTAGCCACATTAATGCACCAATGGAAAATAAAAATGGTGCATTTACAGAGTGCTGGTGAGAAATGTAGGTCAAGACATTTAAAGCACTGAAGACACTGCTGAAATGGTATTAAGAAACAGAAATGTTTAGCAATTCCTGCCAAGATTGTATCAAGCTACCTAAAGGGATGGTATTATTTTTCAGGAAGTGGGCATATAACAATAAGTATCTGTTAAACATGAACATTAAGCCAGTTTATGATGTTGCAAATTATAGGATCTGGACATTTTGTTTCTGGACACCCAACTGCAAATTGCAAAATCTTGTGATTTTTTTTTGCAACTGCAGATCTATCATTTCCCAGATAAGATACAGCAGTTCAGCATGGCTTTAAATCCAGAGTTCTTTTTTCCCTACAATATATTCCATATCAATCTTCTGTCACGACTACTGATCTAGCAAAAGTGACAAGAAATTCTCCAAGGTCCCAAAAGTAATCACGAAAACAGGAGGAGAAAGTTTGAAAATTCACAGTGTTTTCTGCAATGTATGAGAGCAGCCACTTTATTATAAACTGCAACGTTGACATTTATGTACCTATTTATTTCAATTCAAGTCTGATTTCTAATCCCAGGAGCTCAGATGGAAAACCGTGTGGTGTCAAAATGAGCACAATTACAAGACGTACATCCTGCTTTGTCATTTACACTATCTATACCCATAATACATTATTTTTAAAATATCTTTAGAAACTCTAGCAGTGATGGCTAATCTTTTTGCCATTGCGTGCCAGGAGGGGGCGTGGGGGGGTCGTGCGTGCGCGTGCCCACACCCATAATTCTATGCGCCCTGCCCCCGCAAATGCGTGCCTACCCCCCTGCTCCCCCTGCTCCTGGCACGTAATGGCCCGGTAGGCCTGTTTTTCTCTCTCACCTGGCTGCAGAGTCTTTCTAAGAGTCTGGGGAGGGTGAAAATGGTCTTTCCCACCCCCCCCAGAGGCCCTCCAGAGGCCAGAAATGGCCCATTTGTCAACTTCCAGTGGGACCGGGTCATTTTCAGCCTCCGGAGGACCTCCCGGAGGGGTGGTGGTTTTCGCCCTTGTCAGACTCCTAGAGAGGCTCTTGAGGCTGGGGACAGGAAAAAAACGGGCCTTCCAGTCCCACTGGAAATTGGCAAACAGGCTGTTTCTGGCCTCTGGAGGGCCTCCAGGAGGGTGGGGAAAGCCGTTTTTGCCCTGCCCAGACTCTTAGAAAGGCTCTGGAGCTAGGTGAGAGAGAAAAACGGGCCTTCCCCCCCACCCAAGGCCCTCCGGAGGCAGGAAACAACCTGTTTCCCTACTTCTGGTGGGCCCAGAAGGCCCCAATATCAGCTGCACATGCGTGCCGGAGGTGAGCTCGCAAATTATTTTTTCCTTGCAAACATTCTTTAAATGTGTTCTTTCGCCACAAATGAAACACCTCGGTTGTTGCTGTGCTGTAATCTGATATCTTCTGCTGCTACTTTTATCTTTGCAGACATCTTGTCTGTAGCTAGGATCTCTGCAGATAGCCAGTCTGTGGAATTTTCCAGTCTTCTCTCTTTGCTCCTTGGGCCCCTACCTCAGGAATTCCTCCTTGTGGCTTTTTCTATAATGGCATTTGTTCTCCTCAGCAATCAAACAAGCCTTTAAAGCCTCGAAACGCAACTCCTGCTCTGGTTTGCATTCAAATACTGCAGAAACAATGTCCCACATTTCATCCAGACTGTTTAATGCTAGCAGCACCTTCTGAAACTCAGGAAACTGCATCCCACGCTGTTCCAATTCCACAAACAAAGTTTGCATTTGTACAAAATGTTTTTCCACAGATTCTCCTAGTTGCAAACGGGCTCTGTATAATTTTCTTGATATTGCATGCTGACACACTAACATGCACACTTCTCAATTTCAGCCAGACTTCATTTGCAGTCTTTAAATCAGTTACATTGATAAACTGTTCATCTACTTAACTCAAGATGATATAAGCCATTGCTTTATCATGCTGCCTCTGATCTGCAGCTGTAAATGGCACCTATGGTGGATTAATAACCATATTCCACAGCTTCTTAGCCTTCAGGAAACATTTCATCTTTGCAGCCCAAATAATATAGTTCTTCTATCCCAAAAGAGGCAGAGAACTTTCTTTAACTTCAACAGCAACCATCCTGCA